TTATTGGTCATTTCGATGTCAAACGAGAGCCCGGAGCTGCCACATACAGCAGCTTTTCTTGTTCTAGAGCCTTCTCTGCTTCTGTAAAGGGCCGGATACCCCACATAGCCACCGAGGCCATGGCCTTGGGGCGGCCGGGAGTAGAGGGGCGGCACAGCTGATACTGGCCCCAGGGGTGTGGAATTCCTATCGCCCAACACCTGGGACATGGTGGGTGGGACATGCAGTTCTGGGCACCAGGTGGGTAGTTTTTTTTCTACATTTAGCCCTGCTGCGGTTTGTAGAAGTATCTCGGCGATACCACCGAGATCACTTGTAATAAGCCTGAAGGTCTGTCTATCACCTATCTCCCCGCAGGCCGCCTCTCTCCCAGCTGGCCACTTCCCTCCCCACCATGTTTTCCAGGGTCCCCCGTTCTATACTGAGGGACCAGGGGCCACGGCAAAGTAGTTCAGAATAAATAAAAGAAACCCTGCCGCTCCTGCCATCTGGTTGCCATTCTCCATTGGGGTGGGGGGTGTTTGGCGGGGAGGGGGGCGCATTGAGGAACCTGGCCTTGGGGCAGTGGAGAGAGTTAATCCGGCCCTGCTTCTGTGGCCACCTAACCATTCACAAACACTAGTTTATAGCCCAGACACAGCCTATATATAGAGCCAATTATCCAACTGTATATCAAGAGCTGCTGGTTCACAGCCCACATGCAGCTTAAATATAGAGCTAATTATCCATTTATACTGTAGACAGTGTGACAGAAGCACCGGCAAAACCACTGGAGTGATAGTAAACATTCCTAGAAAAGCAGCTTTGGCAAAAGTACACCGGGAGAGTGTTTCCAGGCCCGCCTGTGTCTCAACAGGCTGATAATGTCAACCAATTGTAGGTCTGACTAGGGCTGGGCGAGGGGATAGCAGGAGAGGCAGCCACCTTAGGATGTTCCGAGGGAAGGGGTTAAAAAATGGCAGGACATGAAATTGATGCTGCTGAACTAATTCACAGCTTATGGAGGAGGAGCACTTTGGCCTTTTTGTCTTGGGTGCTCAAGGACCGTGTCCCAACAATGGGTTTGACCTGAAAAACATTAAGTGACTGTTGACAAAATTAAACTGCGAGTGCAACAGACCTGAAAAATCTGAGTGTATTTGGAGCTATGATCTCCATCCTCAGATTCTTCATCACCGCAAGACACTGACTGACATGCGTCAGAAGAGCTTGTTGTGCACAGATAAAGAAGATACAGTGGTGTCAGCTAGGGCCGTGAGTAAGCCAAGCAGGCCAAAACGTTTGATGGCAGATTGAGACCAATCAGCCTGTTTGGAGTGTGTTGAGGGAGAAGAGGTCAAGGTGCTGGATCCTAGATTCCAGCTAGCTCCTATAAATTGAAGGTCTTAGGGTAGGTTTGCCCAGTGGTCCTAACAATGCATTGGGTGTGTTTGTAGAACATATTTATCTATTTTTTGGAAAAAAAACCTTATATTTTTGGCTCTTATTATTTCTCTCTACTGCTTGGAGTCTGTAGCTAAGTCACGAGGTTGTCAAACTGACACAATTTGCATGGAGAAACTGACTACTTAGCAGTCTGCAGTAGTGGTGAGAACATTCGGTAGAGAGGGAGATATTGGACGCCAGGGAAGCGTACAGAGCGCATATAGACCATTATGTCGGTCGGAACTATCTGGTGAGTGTGCTAGTGTTTGCGCACTCGGCGGTGGCTCACTGGGAAGAGTTGTTGGCGGATTGAAATACAGAAGTCATGAGGGACTATGGAACTGCCCCAGGGCCAGGTTCCTCAATGCGCCCCCTTACCCACCAAATCCCCCCATGGAGAATGGTAGACCTGCAGGCTGAATACAAGTGATCGCCAAGATCACTTGTAAAAAACAAGCGCCTGCTTCCCCACTATACATTTAGCTCTGCTTGCCCAAAGCAATACTGAATGTAGAAAATAACTACCCGCCCAGCGCCTAGAACTGCATGTTTCGGTCATTGGGTGATAGGAATTCCACACTCCTGCTGCCCCGAGGCTGGACCTTGGTTGGCCTTGTGGGAAATCTGGCCCTGAACACTGGCCTACAAGGTGAAAGCCTTAGAAATGAAAGTAGTTAAATTTGACCAGAATTGGTTCACTAATAAAGGAAAATGAAGTCCGGAGTATTCATTGGCTCTAGTTTCCAAGATACAGCTACAGGTCAAAATTGCATCAAAATAATTCATAATTATGAGGGGGATGTGCGATTATGCTCCATAACTCTTCTGCAAAATGTGATATAGCAATGATAATGGTGCCACAATCATTATAAATGTATCTATTTACTAATTCCAATAACATAACTTTCCATTCATTTATTGTTTTTTCATGTAACATTTTCATGCAAAAATAGCAGTCGCTATCATGATTGGCGGCTTCCCTCCACACCATTGGGACTCCGAAAGGCATGGACTTTTTCTTCATGTTTAGCCAATGACGCAGATAAATTGCAAATGTAATGAAACAATAATGAGGGGCCCAACTGTAGTCCTGATCCCCTATTTTGCATCCAAAATATAGGTGGTATGCCTTTTTTTACCACTGCCGTCATACTGCACTTTTAAGATGCAAATGTAACCTCGCCACAAATGTAGCAGACGTTATCGGCGTTGTTTACACAGTTTCGAGGCATCTTGGCTTCTGAGGGAAAATATCACGCAACTCTTCCTTGGAAATGTTAGTCAATGCCACTTTCACAAGCCACCAGATGTAACTGTATGATGCGTAGATCTGACCAAGACAAATATACCTTGCAACAAAAGAACAATAAATGACAGTGAGATAATAATCGTTAGTCTCAAAGTGAGGATAAATGTATACACTTCCATGTGGCACCATTTTCATTGTTCTACCGTACTTTGTCGAGAAGTTACGAGGCATCATGATCATCAGACACCTCCCTCCCTTGTAGGCAAATATACTCGACTGTGTATAAATCTTTATTGTGAAATATTTTGAAAACTTTAGCCAGCCAACCAGCACCTTTATCACCTGTTTTCTAATTCATCTCATCAAAATATGTAAAAATTAACACATTTTATCTCGGAGGCCGATAATTTCCCAAAATTTGTAGACTAGTGTAATTGGTTTCCTCACTGATTTAACACAAAGCAAGTGAACATAAGGAATTCATCACGCTTATTGTGACGATCACTATTTTTGGACAACTTTGGGGGATTATTTATAAGATTGAGTGAATATGTATGAATAATGAATGAATAATTGACACAGAGTATATATACGATGGTCTATATGAGGGGTTGGGGTTGTTTTTTTGTTTAAAAAGACTGTGGGAGAAGTTGATATAGCTTATCTTTGCCTCTGCAGCTGTCAAAAAGCGTGGTAGTGAGGTTTGTGGACGGTAGCACGGTTAGTCACTTGTTTCAATAGTGAAAACATTGCCTTGTGCTGCTGCTTTTGATCTGGTCACCAAAAAAGTTGGCTTCTCTCTTATCTTTCTATGTTTTTTTTTTTTGAGTTTTAGGTAGATGAGGTGGTGGAATTATCTGTGGTCTTCCCACAGATGCTGTTTTTTCTTGATGACATTTGAAGGATCACCATTTGTTCTGCCCCCTGAAATGCATCCCCTTTCTTTGGTCCAATAAATATACAGCATTGTTATGGAGGCTGCAATGTTCTAAATATTTAAAAAATAGACATGTAATAGACCCCCCCCAATAGACATGTAATGTCACCCGACACAGCATCATGTGACATTTGTTTTGTTTGACGAAAGTAATGAAAACATTTTTAGTTTCCGTTTATTTAGTCTGAAACAAATGTTTTAGTCTTTGCACATGTCTAATAATATGGGGGCAGCCGAACCAGCATACTTCTCCATTTAATAGGTGGGCCCGATTATTCTGTCACGATCTGGATCAGGCTCGGAGTCCAGTAGCTGAAACAGCAGGCAAAATCGTAGTCAATCAGGCCGAGTTCAGTACACAAGCAGACAGTAGTAGTCTAGGAGCAGGCAGAAGCATAGTCAGAGATCAAGATATTTCTTATAATTATTTATAATTTATTATATTATAATTTTTTAATTTCGTGTTTCAAACTTTATCATACCTGGGATGTCTACTGGACTCTTGTTTGAACAGATTTAGGTGAGTTATTCCTAGGATTTACTAAGAACTACAGGCCTACAATGTAAAACAACATATTTGCTTGAAAAACAATGTACCGCTTTTGGTACCTAAAATCCTCAATAATCATACCGCCAGGGAGGTTAATTGAGGATTACACAGGAGATGAGGCAAGGAGCTATCCAAGGTTTTAAGGTGGCTCAGCAGGTAGAACCACTGCCAGCTACAGCAGAGGCCCTGGGTTCAGATCCAGTTCCTGACACAATGATTCCGTGTATTTCAAGAACACAGGCCATACAAAATCAATAGCTTGCCTGTTACAGGGGAACTACATGTACCAGCTTGGGCCCAGTTCACGTATAATATTACATATTTAAAATCTTCGTTCCTCTCTACTTTGCAATATACAGTCCGTATTGCCCCACTCTTTATGATATGCTGGACATTATATAATTGCTTTAGGCAGCACAACAGGGGCGTAGCTTGGGGTGTGACCTGTTTCTAGGGTGGGGCTTAAGGGGGCAGATTTTCCCACTTACAAAATGGTTCATCATAGATTTATATGTATGGAAAAGCCATTCTTAAAATTACATTTAATTTCTTCATTAAACAAGCTCTAGAGAAAAAAGGAAACTTAAGGACAATACACTTCAGCAGAAGCAGCCTCTCACAGAGTGTATTGACAAAAATACTTGTCAATTCTAAAAGAAACTATTTCATTGATTTGAACAGCAATTTTGTTTCCAATGTCCTGCAACACATGACTATGACCTGATTCTTCTGAAAACAATTTCTCATGACTGCATGTTAACCTCTCCCCACACGTACAATCACGCAGGCACGACATTTTTTAGTTTCAGTAGCTTGTACTTTCACTTCCTTGTCCTGCAATGGCGTCTGCTGATCTGAGAGCTGAGCTGGAATGTTCTATCTGTCTGCACATTTACACAGATCCCGTAACTCTGAGATGTGGACACAACTACTGCCGGGTGTGTATTGATCGTTTTCTGGATACACTGGAGGGGTCCGGAGGTTATTCATGTCCGGAATGCAGAGAGAGGTTTAAGGCTCGGCCTGCACTGCAGAGGAACATAAAATTGCGTAACATAGTGGAGAATTTCCTGTCCGCTCAGCCAGATCTGGAGGAGTCCCGGGTCTTTTGTACTTATTGTGTGGACTCTCCTGTACCTGCTGTTAAGTCCTGTCTGCTGTGTGAAGCTTCTCTGTGTGATAAACACCTAAAAGTTCACAATAAGTCACCAGAACACGTCTTATGTGACCTCACCACTTCCCTGGAGAACAGGAAATGCTCCATCCATAAGGAAACCTTTAAATATTACTGCAATGAGGACTCCACCTGTATCTGTGTGTCCTGCTGTCTGATCGGAGAACACAAAGGACATGAGATGGTGTCACTAGAGGAGGCCTCTGCGAAAAGAAAGAAAAAATTTAAAAATGTTCTACAGAAAATGATAACGGAAAGAGAGAAGACGGAGAAAAAAGTCTGGAGTTTCAGGGAACACGGGAGAAAAGTGCAAGAACAAGCAGATGGGGAAACTAGGAGAGCCACTGCCCTGTTCATAGAGCTGAGGAGACATCTGGAAGATCTGGAGAAGAGAGTTCTGAGTGAGATATCCGGGCAGAAAGCGCAGATCTCATCATCCCTGTCTGATCTAATTCAACTGCTGGAAACAAAGAAGGACGAGCTGTCCAGGAAGATGCGTCACATTGAGGAGCTGTGTAACATGACGGATCCATTGACTGTCCTACAGAAATCGGGCACAGATGACTTGTGTGATACTGAGGAGGAAGATAATGAGCACAGAGAGAGAGATGATACACTCCTCCATGATGGAAAGGATCTGGATGTGTTTCGGATCTCACACACATTACACACAGGTTTATCTGATATAATAACATGGATTAATGAAGGGATCCATATACCAGAACCTGCAGACATATCACTGGATGTAAACACCGCTTCTAATAATTTCCAAATATCAGATGATAGGAAAGTTGCATCCTGGTCAGAAAATAGCCAGAATCGCCCAGAAACACCAGAAAGATTTAATGACTGTGCTCAGGTGATAAGCTGTCAGAGATTCTCCTCAGGGCGACATTACTGGGATGTGAATGTTGGGCGATCACGTAGATGGCGAATCGGGGTGTGTTACCCCAGTATGGACAGGAGAGGCGAGCAGTCACGGATTGGAAATAATAATAAGTCCTGGGGAATAGGAGTACAATCTGATTTATTTTCTAGGATAAAATATTTCCTTAACAATCTTTGTGATAAGAAGTTAGTGATACATGACAGTAAAGAGATCCCATTACCTGCTGATACATCCACTGAGAGAGTCAGGATATATCTGGATTATGAGGCCGGGCGGATCTCCTTTTATAATCTCTCTATCCCAATCCGCCACCTCTACACCTTTTCCGCCACCTTTACAGAGCCCCTCCATGCTGCATTATGGGTAAATCACGGCCATATAAAGATATTGGGAAGGGGGGGATCATGACATGTATGGAATCCATCCAGAGATGGGTAACATCACAGAGAGGGAGGGGAACTGACTGGTAGATAGGCAGCGGGCCTATCTATTACAGGGGTTGATTTATGAAAACTGGGAGAAACAATGTAGCTGATTTGTAATTTCTATTAGCATACAAGATGTGATTGGTTGCCATAGACGACAATAAATGTATCTATCTATTTATCTGTCTGTTTATAAATCTTATATAAAAATATAGAACAAGTATGTCAGGAGCACAATTGGGTCTCATTCATACTTGTGAATTCTCACAAATTCCTCCACGAGACTTGTGCGTTCTGCTGTGCTGTACAATACAATGGGAGCTGTCACTGCCCGCAGCTGTTCGCAGGCCATTTGCATGTGATCGCACATGCTACGATTACCCACAGATGTTCGCACCTGGATGCAAACAGTCTACATCCATGCGCAGGTTTCCACAGGTGATCGCAGCATGTGCAATTGCATACAGTCGGCTTGTGAACAGCTGTGGGCGGTGGCTGCTGTCATTGTATTGTAGACTGCCTACCACCAACAGCAGATAGCATTGAGAGTGCACAGAGATTCATGGTGGAATTCATGAGACTCATGCTATCGGCACCATTCCCAAAGCTGATGTTGGTGTGATTGCTTATTTTAGTAGAATGTTATAAACCCTGATACAGAAGTGAAAGTATTGACTGAACTATAAAATTGAAAATGTGATATGTTATAATTAATTACCACATGCAGGCACTAGATTAAAGGTGGAGGGTGTGCAGGCAGGTAGTGCAGTCAGCGTGCACGGTAAGCAGGCAGTGAGGTCAGGGTGGAGGGTGTGCAGGCAGGCAGTGCGATCAAAATGGAGGTGTGCAGACAGGCAGTGTAGTGTTTTGGTTATGTATTTCTGTCTACAAATTGCAAAGAAAATAAAATAATTGTTGCAAACTAATTTCATCAAAAGAAAGCTTTGTTTGTCCATAAAAAAATAAAATAAACATATGCATTACTTTGTTATTTTAAGCATTGACAGATTTAGCCCATCATTGGGTATTAAGTTATGAGAAGTGAATTGGTTATTGATGCAAATTTACTCAGCTCAGACAGCTCAGCTGTTGTGTGGCCCTCTGGATATGTCAGTCAGGGGCTGCACCTAAAGTGCAAATCAGGATAGCACCTACTTAAATCTGTTATATGCCCCTAATCACATAGCATAATTAATAAAATAATAATAAAACTTGCAGCTTACCTTTTTTTAGGTGCTCTTTCTGCAAACTTCAGGATTGAGAGATCCTACAGGATCTTTCTGTCTTGGATCTCTCAGTCCTGAAGTTTGCAGAAAGAGCACATACAACTAGGGGGGTTAGGTGGTGTTTTGTTTCAAATAGTTAACTCTGTCTGTACTTTGCTGGCTGATTTCATTATCACTAGATGAGCAGGGCTGTCTGTCCCAACAAAGGGTTACAGACCGTGGGGCATGCTGCATTTTTTTCATAGCACAACTGAACGCACCACAGGTCACCTAAGTGGAGTGTACACTTTGTAAACACTAAATAAAGTTTAAAAACAGAAGGAAAAGTAAAAAGTGTGATGTGTTAAGACAGGGCATCATACTACCCACCCAATGGAGCTGTCAGAACACAATGGAGCATTTTAGCGGGCAGGCTTGTGTAAACCGGCTCTTAGTACCTAGGATTTCCATGAACATGAGGAAAGAACACACACGCATTTAAACATGTCAATAACGTGCAAAGCACTTGCACTGCCATTACTAGTTAATGGCACCCCAAACGCGGCCGTGCAAACACACATTTTCCGGGGGGGGGGGGGGGGGGAGCGCAAAGAAAAA